ATTCCGGCTGATGTGGCCATATCAGGGGACTGTCCTATTCTAATGGTTACGTATGACTTGCATCTTACCGCTGATATCCCATCGGCACGGGATCTACACGTAAACATACCTGTTATAATCACCACACCTAACATTGTCAATCAGTATATGGCATATCATCCTGGCCATAATTCAGCCCTTATGTACACTTGATTGTTTTGATTATTCATATTAATGTATGTGGCTTAAATTTGATACCTAATACAATATATTTATTTATTAAGTATAAGTCTCAAAGTTTTATTTGATAAGAATTGCAAAATTAAAATACAAAAATAATTGTTCAGTGAGCTATTTCATTGACTTTTTATTTGAACTGCAAGTGCTAATAAACCCATAAAACTCCAAACAATATACTGACCTAAAATTGATACAATAAAGACAAATAATAAAAGTTAATAAATTAAATTATGAGTGTCTTTGCAAACCTAATAACCAGTAATAATAAGTCTATAACATATCACCAGTATAAGAGATAACTTTATATGTAAATAAATAATTATGAAAACACATTATTAGTTATTGATTTCATATAAGTTTAAAATATTCATTGAAAGAATATTCTATATCTTTATTATATTATCAATATATTGCATATGAATTCAATATTAAATTACCGGTAAAAAGAAATATTGTTTTTAATTACATTGTTTCTATTTTGTAATGTCTATGATTTAAATTTTAGAATATTTTGTTATTCTAAATTTTTATAATAAAAATAATTTATTTCAAAAGATATTTAAAGGAAGTTAAAATATTTCAATAATTTATCGATTTACAAATTGGCAACAACTGTTTTGTATTATTATAAGTTATAATTATGTAGAATTATCTATAAAAAATTGTTTTATATTAATATATATATATTTATAATATTAATTATAGACATATTTATAAATAATTTCTATACATTGGTGCAATTCTTGATTTAGATAAATATTTATCCGTTATATGTTATCATAGGAAATACAATTGACAAATACAATTAACATATACTGTAACATATTGATAAAGTTGTACAACTCATATGCTGTTTATTTTTAGAGGATATTTCAGTTGTTAAACGTAAGGATTCATCATCACATTAATCATATCATCTTTATTACACATTATTGTATAATTACTGCTATAATTTTATTGTGCAATCAATTGTTGTATCAGTACATCATATATCCTGCACATACTCATTTAGGTATATTTAATGTTTATATTTTAGTATACATTATATCGTATGTCTTTATTATATAAAAAGAGTTGACTATAGTCAAGTCAAATATGTTTTAATACACAAAATTGAATCATGGCACATCATCTTAAATTAAGAAAGTTTGAAATAGTGTTGGATTCCCATAACACGACCTATTATTTGGGTAGTTATGTGACGGGAAAGTGTGTGATAGCACTGGACGGCACCCTTGACCTGTCAAAGGTTTGTATAGATATTGTATAAAAATATTAAAATAACCCAAATATCGATATTTTAGGTTAATATGCGATTGAAAGGGTTAGCCCGTGTTTACTGGACTGAAGGCGACGACGACTCATATTCTGATGAAATTAAATATTTTGCAATGGATTACGATTTTAAGAATAATTGTATGCTTGATACAATATTATAATAGTATCTATATTTTTAATTTTACAATTATTTTATAGCGTTCGGTCAAATCCTATCGAAAGGCACATATGAATTCCCATTTTCCTATCAATTACCACATGAGTAATATAATTATGCAGTATTTGTTGCAAGAATATTTTAAATATTAATAATATATTGATCTAAATAAAGGGGAATAGCATCGAGTTTTACTGGGTATTCAGGATCAATTGAGTACTGGATTGAAGCGGAAATTCATAGACCGATGTTTTCAAAGAATAAAAGAGCTAGGGCTAAACTTAATGTGTCCGTGCCACTTATTTGTAACGAATTAATGGTATGTATTTAGAAATATAAGGCTTAGTTATTATAATATTCAGTTATGAGGTAATTGTAACCTTTTTTATCAATTATAGGAACCGCTAGAAAAGAATTGTACGAAAAGTGAATTTTTATTTCATAATTCGGGACCAATTGATATAAATGCTAAAATTGATAGATGCGCATATTATCCAGGTAATCAAACATATACGAATCATACAAACATTGAGATTTGCATTGTATAATATTTATTAAATGTTTAATTTATAAATGTAATTATCTGACCATAAGGTGAAGTTGTGACCATTGTGTGCAATGTTAGTAACAAATCATCCGTACGGGTGATACCACGAGTGACTTTGAGACAAATACAGACTTTTAAACAATTATCGGCCACAAAGGATAATGAAAAGACAGTCCGAAGACAAACCACACATACCGTCAAAAAGCAAAGATTGGAGGGATCACTTACGGAACCGGGACTCAGCACTAGTCATATATTTCACGTATAATTATTTGTTTTAAATAAAATTCTATTATATTTACAATTAGTTCATAGAATGCATTTATTTTTCATTTATCATATTTTATTGAATAATAATATTTATTTTTATAATATTATACTTTATATACAGGTGGAGATTCCCATTGATATTCCTATATCAGTGGACTGTCCTATTCTAACGGTTTCATATGACTTGCATCTAACTGTTGACATCCCATCA